GCTTAATAACTCTCTTGATTAGCAATGGAAATTTTGGACTCAGTTGTGGTTGTAAATCAAGGATTATCTATCCTCTATAAATTCGTATAGGTTATTTCTATGTGTGGCAATACAGACATAGCTCTGCAGCCTTTTTAGAAGACCTCACCCTTCTAAAGCAGAGTAGGCTTGAAGCTTCATAAAGAACCAGAATTGGAACAGAACAGATATAGATGTGGATCTACCATCAGGTAAATTTATTTCAGTCACTCCAAACTACCATGGAATCCAAATTTTAGGCAAACCTAATGCAATCCTTAGTGCATAGCTCTTTATTAAGTGTTTATTAAGTACTGGTTTCCTTTAGAATTACTCAAATAAGTAACATACACACTTTAATTAGCAAGCTATAATAAATAATAGACAAATAAAATATAATAAGGCAATTTTCAGGGTTTCATTTTGCACCAATTAAAGTTTAGGTTTTGATTTGTGTTTCCCATATTGCAGAATATACACTACAGGATCTGTTGCAAGAATGTCTTAATCTTCCTGGCTGTTCTCCCAGCTGAGCTCCGGTTTTCTTTTTGTGCAACAGATTCCTTCTAGTCCTTTTGCAAAAGTAGGTGATCCAACCCAACAATGAGTCATGTAATGGCAGACAAATATAATCATTAATCTATAAAGCTAAGCAGACATGAGCTGGCTTTTTGGATGGGAGGCTATCTAAGTGTAAGTCTTCATTTATGCTTATGTGGTCTAATGTCCTGACAATAGAGATATACCATCCGAGAACTGCATGCAAGTGCCCTGCATGGGAGGTAGAGATGGGGCCAGGGCCGTCCGACAGTTATTAGCTGCCTTCAGATCCGGAGATCAGTGGGGCAGAAGAAAAGCTGGAGCCTGTTCCTGATGTGCGTATGCACAGAGCTGCCAGGAGAAGGGAACAGTTAAGAACAAGGGTCGACTCGGAAGTAAAGGCACAGATGGTTGGAGAATGGCCCCTTCCATAGAGAATAAATAGGAGCGAAAGGAGAGGGTACTTGAAGGAGACAATCAGTTCATTTAATTAGTGTGTAGATTTGTTTGTGACTCTCAGAGACTTCTTGCCAAGTATTTCTTGTACAGTGTTGCACTTGGAAGCTACTGGCCTAGCAACTCTCCAAGCATGATAAGGTCTGTGGTTGCAATTCACCCTTGAAAGACTGTTTGCCGGGACTTTGTTGGATGTGAATGAAAGAAATTCACATTAGCCAAATAAAAAGGGGTTTGTTGGGACAAGGAGTCTGTTTCATGATTTTGTGAAGCCTAGATCAGAACATGGACAATGGAACATGAGGGAAGGAGAAGGCCGCCTTCCCTCTTTCTTCTCCTTGCTCCTCCTCCTTCCATCATACCAGCCGTTCCATTGTCAATTTCTCTATTGCAGTATAGCACCCAGAATCCACTTTGATAGTGTGGGGGTGGGTTAATTTAACAACCAGTTTGCCCAGGTTCAGGTTGGCCATCATGGGAGGCTCATCCCACATGTGCGGCAGAGCTGGAGGACAGAGATGGGCTGTGCCTCCCACAAAAGCCAACCTGACTCTGGGCGAACCGGTTGTTAAATTATTTGAATCCCACCACTGCCAAACAGTGCTAATAATGCTAACTAGAGAGCCAGTTTGATAGCTGGCTGAGGAATTCTGCAAGTTGAAGTCCACAGGTCTTTAAGTTGCCAAGTTTGAGGACCTCTGAGCCAAATGCTTATTTCCTTGTCAGTTCAATGCTAACTATTGGGACTGTAGAAATGTACCTTCTCTGGAGCAGTCCCTGACTGAGAAGTGAGGTTCCTCTCAAGATCTGAATGCCTCCATCCAGCTGGTGTTTCAAAGAACCCTGGGAGAGAGATCCCTGGACGGGGAGCTGATGTGAAGGGCTATAGTGAAGTGCCTAGAGTCATTGGGAGTCAGGCAGCATATAAATTTAATAAATAATAAGAACGTTCTATTCTACATCTCCTTCTTTTACAGTTACTGTAACAGTTGGAGGCCGGCAACATTTGCTTGGACTTTATGACACAGCAGGACAGGTAATATACCTCCAGTTTATTTATTGTTTTCAGGCCATAACTTTTCAGTCATGAATAGCAACACTCTTTTTCTTTCCTTATGGACATTCTGAAGTAGACATTTTACATTTCTGTAAAGTTATAGAAATATATACAATTCTACAAAAAGCATCATATAATTGCCACCCTAAACTTACAATATTAGATATGATGAATAATTAGAGCAAATCCAGTTTTTTGCATTTTCAGAGATATTGCAGGTTTCTCTTGGCATAAAATTTAACGAGGCCAACCTCTTATAGCATTAAGAATAACCATCTCAATGCTGTGGATCGTCTTTCTTTATCCTGCTAGCTTTGTTTCTAACCTTTTTTAATTGATTTCAGTGTTTGCCTTTTGGAATAGTAGAAACTTGAAAATGTGAAAGAGCCAAACTGCTGGTTTACGCTGGCAACTAGCACCATCTTCTGGTTAATTTAAGAGACTGTCTCTAAAGCTATGCTTCACATAATAGTAATATTGAACATGTTGAAGAGCTTTGGAGCATCTGCAAAGATGATGAAGTCTTCCTACCTTTTCCTTTCATGTTTTTGAATAAGAAGTGAATTCCCCACAACCAAGACCAAATAGCAATTCTCGGTCTCATCATGTGTACTTGTTTGTTCTGACAGGAGGACTACAATCAACTGAGACCCCTCTCCTACCCCAACACAGATGTGTTTTTGATCTGTTTCTCTGTGGTAAACCCTGCTTCCTATCACAATGTCCAAGAGGAATGGGTTCCAGAATTGAAAGTCTGTATGCCACATGTGCCTTATGTTCTCATAGGAACACAGGTAAATGACCAAAAAGAAACAGTGGAAATGTCCATCAGTAGTTGACCAGGATACTTTGTGAAACACAAACTAGACGGGGAATAGCAGGGGAAAACTTTCCTACAATGAATTGTGTTGGATCACAAAAGGATCCAAAGACTTCCAGAAATGAGGGTGTGTGTGTGTGTGTGTGTGGATGGTTTGTCTTATTTTGATTCACTGTAATTTCAGAGGTACTGAAAATGAGTGTGGAAATCAGTATGGAAGAAGTAACATCTCACCTATGAGTTGGTCAAATAGCTCTGAGCATTTTGCTGATGAAGTTTATAGTTTGAGAATTAGAGACAAGACTATCTAAATTTTGTGTTTGTCTGTATAGATTGACCTTCGAGATGACCCCAAAACTTTGGCTCGGTTAATATACATGAAAGAGAAGCCCCTGACTTATGAACATGGCATCAAATTGGCTAAAGAGGTACTGCTTTCCTTCAACAACAGTAATAGTAGCTAAACTGATATCAAAGGCCTTTCTCTTTTTCTCAGGGCTAAGCACACAGAGATTTCATTCAATCACCATTGCCCCCTAAGAAATATGAAACAATAGATATATCTAAAAGTCTTTGTAAATCTTGTTTTTCTTTAATTCATTGTATAGCATAATTATTTTCACCATTTAAAGTCTTTAGTATGATGGCCCTTAAGAAAACCTTCCCAAAACTGTTAGCCTTTAGAAATAAGTCCTAGCATTCCTAGACATTGGTCAATGGAATTTGGGTTGTTATTATCTCAATATAACTGGAGGAAAGTTTTGAAAATCCTGCCTAATTTTAGCATTGGTTTCTCACTAATTTCATTATGTGTATAGCCCCAGTCACGTTTCCATTATTTTAGACTTGGTTCCCAGCTTAATAGGTACACACATTTTAATTATTTTATTTTTGTTATATTTCTTCCATTGAAGAAATTAATGGAACCAGTTCAGAAACAATGAGCCAATTGGGGCAGCACCACAAACTATGAGAGACCCCTAAAATACAATGCCTATATTTTTTTAACTCTACAGTGTATGGCAATTTAAGAATTACTCTCTTATTTTGCCATGGTCTTTAGAGAAGACATTCTCAGAGGATAGGTAGGAGGCAGGGAAATCCTTGGATAGTGATGTGGAGGGGAGTGTCAAGAGGATAAATGAGAAGAAAAGATAACTAGTGCTAGAGTACCTGCCTGCGTTTTTGGGTGCTATGGGAATGTTGCCCATGGTTAAATAAAATTCATAGTCTGGTTAGTCCTTTATCATGACCACAAAATGGTTTGGGCCCAATCTTCTTCTTTTTAAGGTGAACTCTTCTTAGATTAACCAAAAAAAAAAAATGTTACATCTAAACAGAAACATAAATACAATTTGGACCCAGCACTGAACATCAGTGTACATCTTTAGTTACATTTTGATGGGAATTAGGAACAAAAGGGGCTAACATCTTCCTGGCTTGATCCTGGGTTCCCAGAGGCATTTGGTACAATGTGCTGAACTAAGTGGGCCTTTGGTCTGATCCAGCAAGGTCTCTTCTTCCGCTTTACTTCTCATTGTCAGCATTCTTGCTCTTTCTCTTTCATTCAAGATTGGAGCCCAGTGCTACTTAGAGTGTTCAGCTTTGACCCAGAAAGGCTTGAAGGCTGTCTTTGATGAAGCAATCCTCACAATCTTCAATCCCAAGAGGAAGAAGAAACTTTGTGCCAAGTGTTGCAGCTGCTGCTCAGTTTTATGATGCCTGGAGTTCAAAGTGGACCAGTCTTGCCAGTTAATAATCCAATCCTGCACAGAGGGACGTGACCAGAAAAAAAAAACCCTACTTTATAAAGTGATTCTTCCTAATCTGTGATTCCTCTCAAATGCAACTTTGTAGACCTTTCATTCCTTGCTTGTTTTTTTTTCCTAATGACTATGCATCTGTAAATACAAGTTCATGTTGTGATAACTTCTCTCTGCTTAGCCAGCAGATACAAGAAAAAAAAAACTTCAGAAATTCTTGATATAGTCAGAATTCCTGATGCACCTGGAAGGAAAAAAATGATTTAAGGATCCTAATCCTAAACCTGAGCCAAAAAGAACGAACTTTGTCATTAGCAACCCACAGGAAGAAATAAGTAAATCCCAGCATTTTTTCTTTCTTTCTATGACACTATAGTCCTTTAATTCAGGATACAGTTGGAGTGGCTGGACCCAGCTGAACATTTACTACCTGGATGCCCTTCCTGACACCTATGTGAAGTTTGCAGCAGATATTTGTTTGCAACAGATAGTAAATCCCAGTATGAATATGCAATAATGATTGAACTTAAAGCACACAAAATAGGATTTAGACATTTTTAGGAGTCAACCATGTTGACACATGTAGAAGACCAATGTCAAATGTCAGTCTTTCCAAACTAAATGCACAGCAATGCTTTTGAAAGAGATGGCATAGAATACAATGTCATTCGTGTACTATTCTTGTCTTCCTTTTATAAACAAAGCATAATCCAAAGAAATACTCTCAGGTTGCATTGTCATATTGCCATTGGACGTGTGAGAATTCTCCTCTTCTTAAATGAAATCTGAAGCTCTCACATTGTGCATTTTTCAAATATTATTTTGAAATAGTAATTATCTAGATTTGAGAAGTCAGAAAATGCAGGGGGAAATGTACATATATTCTGTCTGTGAATCTAGACGTCTTTTCCTAGAATTTATTATTCAAGCATAACTACATTCATGTCCCCTAAACAAAGGTGATTAGGGGACTGGAGGCTAAAACATATGAAGAACAGTTGCTGGAATTGGGTATGTCTAATATGATGAAAAGAAGGACTAGGGTTCCAATATCTCAGGGGCTGCCACCAAGAAGTGGGTGTCAGGCTATTCTCCAAAGCACCTGAGGGCAGGACAAGAAGCAATGGGTGGAAACTAATCAAGGAGAGAAACAACTTAGAACTAAGGAGAAATTTCCTGAAAGAACAATTAATCAGTGGAACAATTTGCCTCCAGAAGTTGTGAATGCTCCAATGCTGGAAGTTTTAAAGAAGAGATTGGATAACCATTTGTCTGAAAGGTATAGGGTTTCCTGCCTAAGCAGGGGGTTGGACTAGAAGACCTCCAAGGTCCCTTCCAACTCTGTTATTCTATTCTAAGAACTACAAATTGCCCTTGAAACAGTACAAATGATTTTCCTCAACCTCAGCGACTTTAAGATGGGTGGACTTCAGCTCTCAGAATGCATGAAGTTCAGCCATCTAAAAGTGCTGAGGTTAAGAAACACCGGTGTAGATAGTCTCCGCTCAAATCCAGTTCCAAATTACTAATTTTCTTGACAATGATAAGAAAACAATTGTTTTCTTCTGGGATGCTTTTAATTTTTTTTTAACTCTTAGGATCATCCATAGGTATTATTCCTTGGTGTCTTCCATCCAAGTACTAACTAAGCCTGTAATTGTTCAACTTCTGAGTCCAGATAGGTTAGGACAAGTTGGGTCACTTACTAAAGATGCTAATTTGCACAATCAAGATCAAAAGGCAGCTTGAGATAGAATACAAGAAAATCCTGAGAAAATCAGACACATGCATCTCATGCACGTGGATGTGTGCTGACACAAAACAGACACACAAACACAAACCACCATTCTTACCTCTTTCCCCGACCTGGAAAAACTAGTTGAAAGTACCAAAAAGCTTATCGAATAAAGGATTTTTAGAAGGAGCAACAGTACATTAGAAGCAATGTTTGCTTCAGTTTGGGGACAAAGCATGTATGCAAAATGGCTTCAACTGCTCTCTTTTTCAGTAGCTTCACCTCTTTCTCCTATTGCTTTTGCCAATTCCGCCTCTCTTGATTCAATCCAGTTGGCAATCATCTATGCAGATATAAAATGATTTCAATCTATGGCCTCCTCTGGTGGTCTTTGGAATTAGTCCAGTGGTAATATTCTACTGGTTCGGCCCAATTTGGCCGAACCAGTAGCTCCAAGGATCATCTGTGAGAGAACCGGTTCACTCCGACGATCAGCTGCTGGGCCTGCCCACCTGCCCCAGTTCTATTTTGACCTTTATTTCCTGATTTTCAAGCTCAGCTGCTTCGCACGGCACAGCGGATTGCCGCACATCAGCTGTTTAACACACAGGGAGAGTCCAGGATTGCAGGAGAAGGTCAGTACCAAATCCACAAAGCACACACTCATCAAACCAGTTGTTACACCAGTTGAATCACACCCCTGAACCATGCCCACCAAGCCATGTCCACCAAGCCATGTCCACCAAGCCACACCCACAGAACCAGTAGTAAAACAATTTGAATCCCATCACTGAATTAATCCCCCTTGCACAGAGAGGCCAGGCTTGGCTAGCTTCATCAGTTTAGATGCTATGTGATTGAAAGCAATCACAACTTCTGTTCTTTCTATCAGGCTTAACTAGCTATAAACAATGTAACTTAGAAGCTACTTGTGATTACAATAAAATGGTTTTCATTCCAATTGTCACCCAGCTAGGAAACCAGAAGAAAGTACCTATTGTAACCAAAAGGCTTTTATTGTTGTAAATGACTTCTTTTCAAATGTTTTCTACAATTTATATCATTGATACATGATTCTTAAAAGAAACATTTTTAAAATATATTTGCGTATGTGTGTTTTTAATGTGTGTGTGCACGCGCTTATAAATAATGACTTTTTAAGTTAATTTAGTGACGATTGAATGAAACTCTAATGCTAGGTGTGAGTTCTATATAACAAGGATGTTCACAACGTGATTCTTGATCTGGTGCCCCCATTGGCAGATTTTCTATACAGGTAACCCTCAACTTACAACAATTCATTTATTGACTGTTCAGAATTACAAAAGCACTGAAAAAAGTGACTTATGAGTATGTTTCACATCTACAACCGTTGCAGCATTCCCACGGTCATATGGATCAAAATTCAGGTGCTCGGCAACTGATTCATATTTATGATGGTTGCGGTGTCCCGGGGCCATGGGCTCACCTTTTGTGACCTTCCGACAAGCAACATCAATGGGGAAGCCAGATTCACTTAACAACTGTGTTACCAAATTAACAACTGCAATGATTCACTTAACAACAGTGGCAAGAAAGGTCGTAAACTGGGGCACATAACAGCTGTCTTGCTTAGCGGCATAAATGTTGGGCTCAATTGTGTTCATAGGTTGAGGACTACCTATTTGTTGCCTAAGGTTTCTACTTCCAGAAGAGGTGTCCAAGAGGTCTCCTGAGAGTGCCTCCCAGTTAGTTCTCTGGGGAGATGTGATAGTGCACCATTTTATTCATTTATTTGATTTGTCAATCGCTTACACGGTAATAGGTATAAGTATAAACATGAGTAAGAATACAGGAAATAGGTACGAATGAATGGGGACAATAGGACAGGGACAGTAGGCACGATGGTGCACTTATGCACGCCCCTTACAGACCTCTTAGGAATGGGGTGAGGTCAATAGTGGTTAGTTTGAGGTTAAAGGAGTGGGGTTAGAGGATGTATCAACAGAGTCAGGTAGTGCATTCCAGGCATTGACCACTCTGTTGCTGAAGTCTTACTTTCTGCATTCAGGTTTGGAGCGGTTTACCTTGAATTTGTATCTGTTGTGTGCTCCTGTGTTGTTGTGGTTGAAGCTGAAGTAGTCATTGACGGGTAGGACATTGTAGCAGATAATTTTGTGTGCTACGCTTAAGTCTAACCGTAAGCGACATAGTTCAAGGTTGTCCAAGCCCAATATCTCAAGCCTGGTAATATAGGGTATTCTGTTATGAGCAGAGGAATGTAGTACTCTTCTCGTGAAATACTTCTGGACTCAACTCGATTGTATTAATGTCTGATATGCAGTGCCTGGATATCATTTCTTTGGAAGCATGATGTGATATGCGAGAATGATTCTGAATCATTAGATTTCATTGCCTGAATGAGTCATGTCCAATAGTTTTGCATAGCTTTTTCCTTTTTCTTGCATGCCAGCAATTGTTTATAACATCTTTTCAGCTGGAGGAGGTCCTATGAAGTCCTCGATGTAGTATTGGATACATAAGTCTGGTAAGTGATAGCAAGAGCTTTTTTGCATTGATACAGTCCTTGTCGAACCATGGTTTGGATTAATGTTGCTTTGGGGGTGCATTATTAAACTGTTAAATGCTGTTGGGGTTCTTGGGTTGGGGTCTTACTCTCTAAGAGTACATCAAGAAATTCAGCTGACTGGAGAATCTGCAGGTGATTTTAAGCCTAAAGTTTGGTTAACATTTGACTTAAACGTGGGGGTCAGCAAGGCCTAAGTGTTGACACTGGGCAGATCTCGTAACATAATGATTGGTTTGCTTCTGTCATTGTTATTTACTGTATATAGGCAAACATTTCCAACTGTGACATGTTGCTCAAGGGGTCAAAGAATTCCACGTTATTCAAGTCGTTGCTTCCGGACAGCAAGAAAAGTTTATTCTGAAACATTTGTTATACAGCTGGAGTAGATCTAAATGGAGCGTTCAGCACAACCGGTTTGACATCATGAAGGGGCTGGAAAGGGAGGGGACAGGAAGCAAAGATGAAACAGAAGAGATATTTGGACAAATGCAGCTTCAAAATCAGAACATTTCTGGAAAATATAAAGGACAGAAGACAGCAGATTCCATCCAAAGCATGCCCTGCAGCTGCCAGGAATAGAGGTTTCAATGTAGAGTGGCTTCCTAATTTTTTCCATTCATTCATTGGTAGTCATTTATTTATTTCATTATGCAGAATAGAGGAGGGGGTCACCTGGTGTCCTTCTTTCCATCTCTATTCTGATGCAGTTAAGTGCCAGTGTTTAATAAATATCAAGCTACATTTTTGCTAATTGAATTGTGTAGTATGTGTGTTTGCCTTTGGCTGGACATAAGTAATCAATCAAGCAGAAGCTTATCAGAACCATCACTGCCAGCCAAGAACATATTCCAGAATGTGGTGCACTGTGACCTGAGTTTAAGAGAAAGAAAAAAGAACCTTTGAAGGAAGGAGACAAAAAATGTAATAGCCTTCTACCTAAGGGATCCTAAAAGGTCCCTTAATGATGTTTCCTCAACCCTGAAACCATTATCAATCACATTGCAGTCGAAAGGAGGAAGGACCATAGCTCAGTTGTATATTACATTCAGTTCCTGGCATCTTAGCTCTCATGTGATAAGAAAATTCTCTGCTTAATATTCTGCAGAACTACTGTACTAACAAGACTGTGTTTCCATTCTGTTTCTCGGCTTAGCTTTGCTCCTCTTAATCTATAAAATCGTAAACAACATGAAATCCAGCCTTCTTTGAATGCTGTTCCAAGTGAGATAATATAAACAGCTACAGTAAGCCTAATTCCTTCCAGAAACTGCATTAGTTTGTTTAAGGATTTAGAGCAGAACGTTTTTTTAATACAGTTGTGAATTTCTCTCCCATTTCAAAGCTCCATTATCAATATATTGATTTAAACCTGCCATGTTATTTTAAATTGTAACTGTACTTTAACCATTTGCTTTAGAATTTTTAGGGACGAAGCTCGAAAGGCCTGAACTAGCATGGAAATATCATGAAATAAAATAAATAAAAAATAAAACAAATATATAGTGATGTATACTGTGGTTAGATTTAAGGTACTGTAGCTTCTTAAATCCTGCAGACAGTGTGTGTACAGATGAAAATCACCAAGTTCATTGTCATACTGAAATATTCTGCAAAATTTTAACTTGAAAAGCAAAAGCTGAACAGCTGGATGGAATGCACAAGGACTCTACTTGCCAACTTGTGATTGCATTCTGACAGCTCACTTTCCTGGGAGAGATCTTCTCCTAAAAACAACAGGCGTAAAAGGAACAGCAAACTTGTTTCAACAGACATCAGACAAGATGGCTTTTAAGAGATGTAACTCAAAAGATCCCCAGTTTCTCTGCTGACACAATGCCTCAGCACAAAATGATGATGGAACTAAATTATGATGATGTCTTTACCAAAGAGATGCTCAAGTTAATCAGATGCGGCCCTGCTCAATTGAATGGACTGAAGCCAGCATGAGCTAGAGAGGACTAGATCCCAGGATAGTTCTTGTAAATACTCCGCTGATTTTAAATGTTGGCTTTGAGCAATCCCCCCACAAATGTAACTAATCAAGGGAAATCACCCTTCAGACAAGTAGCTTAGGGAGGATGAGAATCCTAATTACCGGTAATTATACAACATTCACTTGAATGTGGTGAAGGAAGAAAAAAAAAGGTGCTTTACAACCTGTTTAAAAATGAGAAACAGTCTGGTAGCACCTTTTCAGACTAACACGTTTTATGAAAGCTTTCATGAGCTGTATGCCTTTCATAAATTGCATTTATTAATTTGTGTCTGTCTAGAAAAGTGTTACCTGACTCCTGGAACTAACACTGTTTTTCTACTACAAAGATTTTTCAAACTACAGCAAGAATATATATTTTTTAAATGGAAATCCACATCCACATTTCAAGCAAGCCAGTTACTAGAGTTAACAGTAAGGATATCCCAGCAATTGGAACAATGGAATACTTAAGCCACTTGGCCTTTAAGGATATGGTCATTTAGCCCCAACAAATCCTGGACTGAGCACTCAAATTTTTCCAAGCCAAAACTGCTTCAAGTTTGAGGTGGCAACAACCCAAAAACTAATACAATCCTTGGTTGTATAAACAGAGGCATAGAATCAAAACCACGTGAAGTATTAGTACCGCTCTATAAAGCCTTAGTAAGGTCACACCTGGAATACTGCATCCAGTTTTGGTCACCACATTGCAAAAAAGATGTTGAGACTTTGGTCAAAGTGCAAAGAAGAGCAAAACTGAGATGATTAAGCAGTGGTAGGATTCAATTTTTTTTTTACTACCGGTTCTGTGGACGTGGCTTGGAGGGCATGGCAAGGGAAGAATACTGTAAAATCTCCAGTCAGAGGTGGTATTTGTTGGTTCTCCAAACTACTCAAAATTTCCACTACTGGTTCTCCAGAACTGCTCAGAACCTGCTGAATACCACCTCTGTGATTAAGGGCGATAAAGGGTATGGCTAGTCTAGAGAAAAGAAGGACTAGACGGGACATGATAGCAGCACTCCAGTATTTGAGGGGCTGATACAAAGAAGAGGGAAGGCAGAAGGCAGGATAAGAAATGATGGAAACTAATCAAGGAAAGAAGCAACCTGGAATTAAAGAGAATTAAAGAGAAACAGTGAGGACAATTAACCAATGGAACAGCTTCAGCGATGGTATTCAGCAGGTTCTGACCAGTTCTGAAGAACCGGTAGCAGAAATTTTGAGTAGTTCGGAGAACCGGCAAATCCCACCTCTGACTGGAGATTTTACAGTATCCTTCCCCTGCCACGCCCATCAAGCCAGTATCCTTCCCCTGCCACGCCCACACAGAACCGGTAGTTAAAAATAATTGAATTCCACCACTGAACAGCTTGCCTTCAAAAGTTGTGGACACTCCATCACTGGAGGTTTTAAAGAAAAGACTGGACAGCCATCTATCTAAAATAGTATAGAGTCTCCTGCTTGAGCAGGGGGGTTGGGCTAGAAGACCTCCAAGGTCCCTTCCAGCTCTGTTCTAATTGTTTCAATTTCTATAGAATTTAGTCCCATCCAGACTACTACCTCTTCATCCACCAACAGGAGGAGTTCTAATGAGAGAGTCATTATCACTAGCGTTTGTATTGTTGTTACACCAGCAGTGTGCAAGGCACATGAGAAAATAGCAGTTTAGCCATGCACTATGGATTGCACTACAGATAATCCTTGATTTACAACCATTCATTTAGCGTCCTTTCAAAGTTACAATGGCACTGAAAGTGTGACTTTCAACCGGTCCTCACACTTAACCACCGCAGCATCCCCACGGTCATGGGATCATAATTTGGATGCTTGGCTTCCAGCATGCAATTACAATGGTTGCAGCATCCCAGAATCTTGTGATCAGCGTTTGCTACTTTCCCAGACAGTTCCCGGCAAGCAAAATCAACGGAGGAAGTCAAATTTGCTTAATGTCTGCATGATTACCTAATAACTCCAGTGATTTGCTTAACAACTATGCCAAAAAAAAAAAAAGGTCATAGGGTTGGGCATAGCTCACTTAACAACCACCTTGCTTAGGTTCTGAAATTCTGGACACACTTGTCACTCCTAAGTCAAGGAGTACCCTCATTATGTGGTTACTTTGCAGCCAGACTGCTGTGAGGAAAGACATATCAAAAAGGCTCAGCAGATGCAAACTGGTACACGGTCACAGAAACACCATAGGTTCATGTAAAAAGACCTGACAACTACTATCCAGCTGCAATTTAATAACTTGATTTTAATCTTTAAATCTACGAACAGCTTAGAGACTAAGAGACTGTACATCTCGATGTAAACCTGTCTAGGATCAAAGATCAGCAGAAGAAGGACAT